TTCTCTTCTCTTCTCTTCTCTTCTCTTCTCTTCTCTTCTCTTCTCTTCTCTCTCTTCTTTCTCTTCTCTCCCTTCCCTTCCCTTCTTTTTCCCTTCCCTTCCCTTCCCCCTTCCCTTCCCTTCCCTTCCCTTCCCTTCCCTTCCCTTCCCTTCCCTTCCCTTCCCTTCCCTTCCCTTCCCCTTCCCTTCCCTTCCCTTCCCTTCCCTTCCCTTCCCTTCCCTTCCCTTCCCTTCCCTTCCCTTCCCTTCCCTTCCCTTCCCGCTTTCCTCCTTCTCTCCCTTTCTTTCATTTTTTTAATTTACCATAAAGCAAATTTGTTCCTATTTGCTCTTTTAAGAGTTTTCTATACAAAATGACAAATCTGTGTTTATGATTTTGATGCTGAAAATGTGATGCAACTAAAGATAAATATCAGAATGCAGCCTTAAACTCAGTAGTAATGGTGATGCTTATAGATTCTTAAGAGATCCTATACAGTGAACAATGATAATGGATCTTCTGGCACAACCATTGTGTAATTGATGTTTAGCATATTCCACTGCACTCACAGAAAACAGCAAGGTGATAAATTGGTTGTAATAATGTGTATTATCCTGTGTGGTTTGCTGCAATTTAACATGGTTTTCTCTGATTATTTATTTTATATATATACATATATATTTATAACTTAGAGTATCTGTTAGACATGAAGCATGCTTAGGCATGCTGTAATCTTTTAGTCCTGAGTAGAAAATGGTTGTACATATACATATATATACATTTAATATGTAATGTCCTTCTATCAAAGTTCACCACTCAGCTAAATAATAACTCTTTTATTCTCACTATATTGGCAATAAAAGTAATGAAAAAAAAGAAAAATTTTATATTTAAACATTAAAAATATGGTCCTCTGTCCTTATACATTATACAAATCTTGTCATGAAGAAATTCTGAACTAGGAGGTGGCTCTGGTTAGATCCATAAATCTAGAAAGTAGCTGTTAAGTATAACAAAATGAGTGCTAAATTAGGCATTATCCTTTATCATAATAGAATCTATTTAAAGGTTAAAAATATGTTGTGAAATACTCCTCATCTGCATGCTAAAGATATTTAATGAGAAAAAATAATAAGTCTTGCTCATTAAAATTAGCAAGGCATGTACGGGAAAATGTAATAATATTGAGCCAGGTGTCAAAGGGATGGAACTCCAAAGGACATCTCATTGCTAGCTTCTCTTTAAAAAAAAATCTTAATAACTTGATTTATATCCTGAGAAAAGTTGTTTTCATAATGAGGCATAGGGTTAGTTTTTATTTAATTTTATGTTGGGTTTTTTTAGCCATCTTCTTTCACTTTGAAAAAATTCTTGGATTGTAGCTTCTATTTGTGTAAGCCTTGAAGATTAAATGAGTACATTTTAAGCACAAACAGGGCTGTACTTTTCCTTCTACATGAAAAGCAAGTGAAAAGATTATTCTCAAGATGCATAATATGTATTTAGCTTATCTGGTTTCTTCCTATAGTGTTGCTAAAATATAACTAAATCAGAATAGACGATGCTTCAAATCCACCTGCTCTTCAGTGTGGTCAAGATTATATTTTATAGCTTTGGCATTCCATCAGGTTAAAAATGCTGAAAGTCTATTGCTCCTATACTTTGTATATTATGTTTTGATTAACCTTTATGGGTCTGTCTAGCATGTTCTCTTTTTTTTTTTTTTTTAATACAGAATTATTTTTTATTGAATCAGTTTAACTTTTCTGACGTAAATCTCAAGATTCTTCCAGTCAACTCTAGCACTCTTGAAAAATACAGCTACTGCAGTTATTATCTTCCAGTTCTTCGGTATAGTAGCTGATTTTAATGACAAATTCCATGTTACTGAGTTTCAGAATCTCTTTAATTTTTTTAAGTTAATAGCACTGTGAACATTTTACGTGATCATTTCCATAAAAGCTATGTATCTGAAGTGGTAATGCAGCCAGCTCAATTCAGTGGCTTTGATTGCTCCCCATACTAACTTTACTACAAAGCATTTTAGGTGTACCCAGATATATGACCAGCTGTTATTCAGGCAAAGTAAAGCTAATCGATGTATAGATTGAAGGCTGCAGTGTAGATATTATAAGATTGGATATGCACAAACTAGTGCACAAATAAACATTCGTCTTTCCCCCTGGACTTGGATAGGTTGTGCTGAAAATCCCTGTTACAATTTCACTTTTCTTACTGTCAAAGTTGTTAAACATGAATGAAGTTTGCATATTGGTACTGAAAATTACACATTCTGTCATTGGTGTTGACTTTTTGTTTTCCCTTGTTTGCTCTAGATCTCGTTATTCCAAGAAACATTTAGTAACACAGTGAGAAATATTTAGTATGATATGTCATTTGAATAACAGATACACACACCGCTGGAAAGATTGCTAGTGGTGATTCCTCTTCAGTTTCTCAATCTTAGTGACATTTTCCTGAGCTTTCATAAATATCTGCTGTCATATTTGTTGAACTTGGCAAACATAATAGCTAAGAAGAAAGACGCAACATCTGGAGGAAGTGAAAGATGGGAAGAAACTGAGATTTTCCCCCAAATATTCGACCTGCTCATTTTTCGTTTTATGTAGTTTTAGTAAAGAAGACCACACTTCTCCAGGGATTCTTGGTTTTGTTTCATTATTCTTGCATTCTTCCTTTTGTTACAGACAAACACATAGACTTCAGGAGCCCTCAATTTTTTTATTCTGAAGTCTTCTGGTTTTCTGAATTACATTTTTGGATTTCAGGTTTCCTTTCCTTTCCTTTCCTTTCCTTTCCTTTCCTTTCCTTTCCTTTCCTTTCCTTTCCTTTCCTTTCCTTTCCTTTCCTTTCCTTTCCTTTCCTTTCCTTTCCTTTCCTTTCCTTTCCTTTCCTTTCCTTTCCTTTCCTTTCCTTTCCTTTCCTTTCCTTTCCTTTCCTTTCCTTTCCTTTCCTTTCCTTTCCTTTCCTTTCCTTTCCTCCCTTCCCCCTTCCCCCTTCCCCCTTTCCTCCCTCCCTTCCTTCCTTCCCTCCCCCCTCCCTCCCTCCCTTTCTTCCTTCTTTCAATTTCCAATATATTTTCTGTCCTTTTCTTTCAGATGCACTTACTTTCACAGCAGCAATAACCCTAATATAATCAATAATTTTCCAATTTGTTCTTCCTTTATGACTTTACACAATCCTCCAACCTGAAATTCTATTTTAAATTCAACAATCCAGAGCCAACTAAAAGATTTGGCCATATTTCAAATGCTAAAAATTGCCGTTCCAGTGTAGCTTTCATATCCCCAAATGCAAATGTCAACTAAACAGAGCAAAAAGTAACTCAGATCACTTTCATGTCTTCAAATTGAAATCTAAGGCACATCTGTTACTGTTTAAATCATTTTCCTCTAATTCTCACCTTTACTTGGGTCTTCTATGGACACTTTCTCATCTTAAACTGCATGATGGTTCTTATTCTGTCATCATCCTTATCAAACATAGATATTTCATAGATTTAAAAATTCACAGCCATTGCCAAAGCACTGGATCTTATTCTCTTGTCTGTTATTCCTGCTTCTTCACTGACTCTGATGAAGTTGAGCTAAGTGATATGGTTAAGCATGGACATTATGTTTTTTACCCTATCTATTCCTATAGAGTTCCCTCCTTACAAATATGTTTCAAATTAAACATGACAGATGCGCTGCCAACATTTTTCCTTCACAGATTATCAGCAGAGTAAATTCTGAATGGAAATGATTGCTCTATTTTCCATGTATCTTCAAAAGAACCATTCTGGGACTCTTTGCATTGTACATATTATTGTAGGTATTCCATTCTCATGATTATAAAAGAGAGTTATAAAATAAATTTCTGTTCCGTTATACTTCAGTTACTGTTTTCAGAGATAATTATTAGATTCTGGAAATTATTTTGCAAAGACACATATTAGTGACAAATATTGATTGGTATTTTATGGTGTCTCCTAGCAATGCCATCGTAGAGGGCTGATTTTGTGTGCCATTACAGTAATTCATGATAGGTAAATAACTCTTGAGGATTTTTCTGTCAGTTGTTTCCCATAGCCTATGTATTTTATGCTTATTCATCAGAGACACTATCTCCTCTATAAAACAACAGGACATTTAGGTAATCATGATAAGAGCTGATGAATATGCACTGATGAATATTATCTATCACTTTATATTATTTAAAAAAAACTCAGAGAATTTTTTTTCCTTTCATGCTATATTTCTCACCTATCTTCTACTGTGATTCCATGGTTTTACTTTTCATTGTGGCTGTCGTGAACAGTTGTAAGTTTTTATCCATGAAGACAAATATTTTTTAAAACAAAAATAGTTATTTGTTTTGGGGAAGGGGTTCATGTTTGTTACCTTAAAAAACCCAGAAATGTCCCCATAAAAAAAGCACAACAAAACAACAAAACACCAGCAACTACTAATATTGTTACCAAAGAGGAAAAAGAAAATTGAAAAACATCCAAATGGACACAGAAAGCCAACAGCAACAAAACAAACAAACAAATGTTTTTTTGCATTTTCAGGAAGATATTTTTGCAAGATTTTTGAGACCGTAATTGATTTACATACTTACATGTTTAAAGTTGTTTTTGTCTAAAGGTACAGAGAGGTTTGTTAAATTAAACATTACAAATACAAAAAGGATATATTTTATGCAAATTATAATCACTATGTAGTAACTTATAAGACAACCATATATGCTACATTCCTGGATGGTTCTGGTGGGTTAAAAGTGTAAAGAATAGCCTATAGTGTAGAAAAAGAATGAAAAAGTAGGTGAAGATGAAACATACAAGCAGAATTAATAATTTATAATATATTAGTGGCAATAAAAATAGTTCCATGGATATTCACAGAATTAAGTGCCTCAAATATGACGTGCCTCAAATAATAAATTACTTAAATTACTTAAAATTTCCAAATCAACTCAAATCCGTTGGCATTTTACATAACGATAAGTTTTTACCTACCAACTCTAGACATCTCTGGAATACTGGCGGTGTATATGTCCTTGGTGAATTTTGGTTCATTGTCATTGATATCGTGGATTTTAATGATAAATTCAGACTCTGGTTCCACTTGTCTTCCAGTTTTTCTGTCTATAGCCTTGGCACGTAGCACATATAGAGACTTTTCTTCTCTGTCCAATTTCTTTGCAGCATGAATATCTCCCGTATTTTCATCTATAATGAACAGACTGCCAGCCCCATCTCCTGTTAATATGTATTTTAAATTCCCATCTCCTTTATCTTGGTCAGTGTGTAGCTTCAGGGAGGTAGAAAAGAAGAATTTTATAAATATACGTATTGTTATTACGTGTAAAATAATTCAGCATATATGAATAAGTCTGTAAAATCCTGACTATAATCAGGGTCAGTAGTGGTTATCTTATATTTCACTGTCAGAAAAATTGCAAATTTGAGACTAAGTCATACACAAAAAAATAGCTCTAAACAAACTCATAATGGCACAGGGGGATGTAGAAGATATTGTACTAATATTTAAAATTACCACCTTGAAACAAAACATGGTATTTTTTTGAGTAGTCTTTCCAGAAACTACCAGAAGTCCCCTTTTTAAAGATGACAGGAGGTGTAAAATTCCCAAGTTTCTATTTACAAAATAGCATTTGTCTTCCCATTTATTGATTGATGATAAGACAACAAGTTTAACAACATAGAAGAAATGGGGTTTAAGGACTATAGCTTCTGGACTTCCCCAAATCACCAATAAATGTTCTGATTTAAGAAACTTCCATTTCTAGTTGTTTGGGCTTTTTGTTTGTTTTTGTGGGTATTTTTGTACCTCAAGGAACATCTTTCTTCAGTTAATTACATCTTCTTTCTAGTCCTCTTCATGCAGGAGAAATAATTTTCAAGAACACTAGGTGGTAAATTTTCAAAACATTGAGTGGGATTTAACAGTCTTTTTCCTACTGCACTTTATAAGAGTTCAAAACTCTTTCTCTGTGAACTTACAGGCACTGATTAGCTTGCCATATATGACAGTTTGAAAAAAGTACCTAAAAACAAAGCCAAAGTAAGCCATTGAAGCTGACCCAAGTACTAGAAATTCTCACATAATACTCTTTTTTTGGAAGTCGATTCCTCTAATTTCATTTACAGGGAACCCGAGTTCAGTTTTATTAGCAATTGCAGCATGTTTTACTTAGACATATGCTTTATGCTTACAGTTGTATCTGGCCACAGACTGGTGATCTGGGTGTTTTTCAAATGTGGACAAAAGGAAGGCAATTCCAGCATTTTATTTGCTTTTTAAATTTTTCTGAGTAGAAAAATTTAGTATATTATCCACCTGAGAAAATATTGTTCAGTATCAGTAAAAGTATTACTCTAGATAGTCACTAGACCCAGGTAAGCTATATTTTATGCCCCTCTGTTCCTTGTTTCATTGCTTCTGTATTCCTAACAGTATTTGTCTCCATGTTTTGTAGCAGACCCATTACATCTTTTTCTTACTGCCCCTGTATGAAGGGTGACTGTGGTCAACTTCGTTAAATTTCTTCACTTAGGTTTTTTTTTCTTAGATCTTTTTTTTTTTTTTAGTTTACCATTTTAGCCTAATATTAGTCACCAAATGTTCTATGTTATGAATTGTTAACTCTTCTAGAGATAAGACTGAACAAAAGTTTGAAGGAGGTGATCCTGCCCCTTTATTCTGCTCTCGTGAGACCTCACTTGGAGTACTGTGTACAGTTCTGGTGTCCTCAACATAAAAAGGACATGAAACTGTTGGAACAAGTCCAGAGGAGGGCCACGAGAATGATCAGGGGACTGAAGCACCTCCCATATGAAGACAGGGTGAGAAAGTTGGGGCTGTTCATCCTGAAGAAGAGAAGGCTGCGTGGAGACCTCATAGCAGCCTTCCAGTATCCTAAGGGGGCCTATACTGATACTGGGGAGGGAATCTTCATTAGGGGCTGTAGTGATAGGACAAGGGGTAATGGGGTAAAACTTAAACAGGGGAAATTTAGATTGGACATAAGGAGGAAATTCTTTCCTGTTAGGGTGGTGAGGCACTGGAATAAGTTGTCCAAGGAAGTTGTGAATGCTTCATCCCTGGCAGTGTCCAAGGCCAGGTTGGATGAGGACTTGGGTGATATGGTTTAGTGTGAGGTGTCCCTGCCCATGGCAGGGGGGTTGGAGCTTGATGATCTTGAGGTCCTTTCCAACCCTAACTATTCTACGATTCTATGATTCTATGACTATCCAAACAGTTTTAGCACTTAATATATTGAGTATATCTGTAATATGTATCTGAGTATATCTGTAATATATATCTGTGAAAATTGTTAAAGATTGCATACAGTGGGTTGAAAGAATGACATAAAACATGCACACAGGCTCAAAAAAAAAAAAAAAAAAGTCCCCATCAGCCTGGCAAATCTACAGGTAATACAGAGAAAATAAATATTGTATGAGTATCTTGACACAGAATGTGGAGCATTATACCATCAATATACAAAGTTCATTAAAGATATTTTTTCTTATTTTCATATTTGATTCTTATCAAAAAAAGAGTTGACTGATTTGTATCTTAAGTACAAAACATAACATATTTATTTTGGTCAGATGATTCTGTCTTGTGCCGCACATCACAATTTCCTGTCCCTAAGAAACTGCACATTCATTCTTGTTGAGATATTCCTTACCTTGTGGCATAAATATAGCTTCCTCATTTTTTCTTGAGGTAGAAGCTATTTAAAATATGGCAAATGAGGATATGATGTCAGGAATGATGTCTAGCACTTGAACCTAATTTTCTCATGAAGACAGGCCCACTTCTTTTTGAGTCTTTAAAAAGTCCAAGTACCAGTTATGATGCCCTGTGTTACATGCCTCCTTAACATCCTCAGCAAGCCTGGGGGAGCAGCCATACCAAAAGCTGTGTCTGGGAAATTGGTGAGGGATCAGTCCCATGGATCAGGAGATTTTTATATTGTTTATCTTGATTTAGAGCAGAAACCAAATTTCTTAGTTTAAACAGGGATATATTATATATGTAGAATTTTATCAGAAATATCAAGTACATAATATGCATTTTATCAGAAGATATAACTGGAATGTTATTTTATTATAATATTACTTGAAAGTGTGGTAATAATGTAGTTCATATTTGAAGACCTGCTAAATACTTTTTCACGGCAATTGTGATACACTAAAGAGTTTTTCAGAGACTATAAACCGATTTAAAGTTAGCACTTTACATACTAAGATTGCAAATTTTACTATTTAATTTTTTTAATTCATTCAAACTCTTTCTAGACTTGAAGAGATGGTCATCTGCTGAGAAGAAGTCCTGTATAATAAAAGAAGACAGATGCAGATGAGTAACAGAGATCCAGGTTCTGAATGCAAATACTGTTAGCTTGCCAACCTCACTTTGCTCATATGAACCATTCTGCTGGTAGTCCAGGATCAGCAAACTCTTAAAATGGGGTGAAAATGAGCAAGCAGCAAGACCAGTGATCTTTTCTGCACTAACAAGCAGTTCTGGGGAAAAAAATTGCATTTGTTCATTGCTAGTCCCTTACCCTGCTTCTCAACTATACATAGAACCTCAGAGAATAGGTTTAGTTTATCTGTCTGTATAAACTACCTAAAAAGATGTCAAGCAGCTCATACTATGATGGGTATTTTAAGCTTCCTACTGATCTCCTATTTCAACCAAATGACAAACAGAATTTTCAAGCACAGTAAATTTGGTATAGAACATGATTTCTTAACAATTAAGATTTCCACCTCCTATTGCTAAACTACTGTAGGTAAGCTCATTTGAAGTACACTTGCAAACTATCGCTTATTCTGCATGTTCTAATTCCTATATATATTTTGTTTTCCATGTCACATTTGAGGAATCTTCTTTAATCTGTGAAGTAATTTTACAATATCATAGTTTGGAAAAAAAGAAAAAAGAAAAAAGAAGGGACCATATTCATAATGAAGAACAAATAAATGAAACAAAACATTGTCCACCACCTTATAAAACAGTAACTCCGTAAAACAGAATAATCATACCATTGTCTCACCATGCTACTTATATAATTACAAAATATGCCTTTAATGTATGAGGCAGAATAACTTCACAGAAGGTTCCAGATGTTTACCCAAAATAACTGTAAGGGACATAAATATTTTTTAAAAAGATACTGTAATTTAATTTTGACCAATCTATATTGTGTTTCTTTATGTTTGGAAAACTTTTAGAAACTGCACAAATACTTTTAACTTATAACATGAAATATGGCTTGAGATTTTCAAATTTTAATTGTTCTACAGAAAGCCTACAGCAAATCACATGCAAAAATAGCATACCCAGCAATTCCCTATTTAGCCACACAGGTCTCCTGGCCCTCTTCCTTGACTTCCTATGTGTCGAGATGCTCTGATCTTGAGCTCGGAAAAAGCAGTCCTTGATTGGGCCCCTTTACCTTCAAGCAACCTAGCCCATGGGATACCTAGCTATTGCTTCAAAAGGCCAAAATTTGCCCTGCTAAAGTCCAGGGTTGCAATTCTACTTGCTATTCTACTGGTCCTACCACACAAGATCGTGAATTCCACCATCTTGTGGTCACTGCAACCAAGGCAGCCCTCAACCTTCACTGCTTCGACCAGACCCTCCTTGTTAGTGAGGATGAGATCCAGCAGCGCACCTCTCCTGGTTGGCTCATCCATCATTTGCATGAGGAAGTTATCATCCATACACTGGAGGAACCTCCTTGACTGCAGCTGGGTTGCCGAGTAGTCCTTCCAGCAAACATCAGGGAAGTTAAAATCCCCCACAACGATTGTAGCTGCTCTCGCACATAAAGAGCAACCCCACCACCCCTCCTGGCTGGCCTGTCTTTCCTGAAAAGGACATAGCCCTCCATGACTATATTCCAGTCATGTGAGCTGTCCCACCACGTCTCTGTAATTGCCACCAGGTCATAATCTCCTGACTTAACACAGGTTTCTAGCTCCTCCTGCTTATTTCCCATGCTGCGTGCATTGGTGTACGGACATTTCAGGGAGTGAGCTGAGCACACCGATTTCACCCTAGGATTACAGGAGGCCTCCCAGTCTTCATCAATTCTGGAGTGCTGCCCCACTGGGGCAAGCCCAGCTACAACCCCATCCCCCTTTGAATCTAATTTAAAGCTCTCCAAATGAGCCCTGCTAATTCGTGCCCCAGCATCCTTTTGCCTCTGTGAGATAAACCTGTCCCATATGCCATTGTCCAGACTGGTGTCCTATAAAACCAGC